TTTCATCCTCATGTCCTGAGTACAGCAGTAGCTCTCCTGATATCAGCCTTTTTTGTCCTGAGCCAGTCCACCTTGATTCGCTGACACCCAGGATAGTTATTTTATAGCGTCTCATTTCTGCTCCTACTTGGGTTGCTTTTCCAGCTTCGTACATCGTGCGGACATTCCAAGCTCCAATATTGGTACGCAAGCTGCCAAGCCACAACAAGGCCCTAGCACCAGATGACAGCCAGCCGACTGTGAATAGCCCCAATACGGCTATTCACAGTCGGCTGTCATTTCATACTAAATACGACTGTGAATAATATCTTAAAATAATATAGGCTAAGCATTTATTGTGACTGGGGAGTGAGGTATAGATTAAGAGAGCAGTGCTATTTTTATTTTGTTATATTTTTATAAAAAAGTTATTACCGTTAAAGTTTAGTTCAACTTTTAGGCTCATATCAGACATATCTGCTATAATACAGGCTACGTAGGTCATAGATGATTAGATGATCAATTATACACTCTAAATCTATACACTAGAATAATATATCTAGATCTTGTAATTTTTAAATAAATAATACTAATTAAGCATCAGTTTATTTGGTTGTTCACATTGCTATTCAACTATCAATTACCATTAAAAATTCACATTATCACATAGATCTAGAATAAATTTCAGGTGAAATCGGATGTCCTTTTTCATCATCTATTATTCAGTTTCCATCACACTTTTGTTTTTTCTCTTAGCAAAAATCGGGACAGGTCTTTTTTTTTTTTGCTGATATGCCAACAATTACGTCACAAACGAAAAAAAAAATAACCATTCCATGAGTAACTCAAGTAGAATCTAGATCTAATTGTGAAAAAAATATTTTGATAAGATTATGAGGTATACATTAAAGGGTCGGACCATTTGGTATCTGATGGATTTGAACCCCCACCTTCTGGCATGACAGCCTCTCCCTATGACCACTCGACCACACATCTTAATGCCCAGATAGGTATTTTTAACATTAAATCTATAAAAAACGGGCACGACTGTGAATAGCCCCAATACGGCTATTCACAGCCGGCTGTGAATAGACACTTCGTAAAAATTATTGCGACCGGATGCGATTTTCGTGGAAATTGAGCTAGATTTAGCAAAAGACAGCTATATTTGTGTAAAATATTATTATTTATACTTCTACTTACACAGATATTTTGATAACTGCAGTTCAGCCGTCCATTTTTCTTTTAAAATGTATCTTTAGAATTTCTGTACCTTTTGGCAATCGGTCAGGAGCATTTGCGCACTAAACCCACCCCCCTACGGCAGATCCGATTTTTTTCCCAGTGAACTCGTACTGACCTCCCACATAGCTAAGATAGTACATTGATACTGATGGGAAAGCCTCTAAATCTGTATTCCTACTAGAGATCTAGAAATAAATCTAGATCGTGGAGTTTTTATAATGACTTTTAAATTGAATGTCTCCAGTTTAAGATATTTTTTTTTTCAAAACATAGCTACTTTTAGTACTATATTTAAGTATTTCAAACCCTTTTGGTAGTTTTTTTCTTAAACTTAGACCTAGATCTAGTGATTAGATCTAGATATCTATATTTTGTACTTATAACTTGCAGGCCTATTAAAATAATAATAAAACACTTTGCTTGATAACTTCATTAGGTCATTTCATAAACACAAATGTTATAAACATATAAAAATCACAAAACCATAGGTAATATCTGAATTCTGTAGCCTACTTTACATTTAGGCTAATACTGAATTAAAAAGAAATTACATTAAGGTTTGAAATTAATACAACTTGTAATTAAGAAAGAAAGCTTCAATTCTAAATACTACAAGATATAATAACAAACAATGAAACAAATTCAAAGCTTTTTTTCAACCCATTTAGTCGAAAAGATTTTTATTTTTTCCGATATTGACCAAAATAAGTTTTTAAAGCTTAGGCCTACTGTTTTGACAAACATAACTCAATTTTATTAGGCCCCTGTAAACATTAATTAAGATTCCTCTGTAGACAAAGCAATCTATTTGGCAGATGAAGTAGAGTTCATGTTTCTTGACCTCGGCATATGAAGTGATTGTCCGTGTGGTCAGCGATATTCACAGCCGCCTTTACTTTTTACCTTTAATTTCCCCAATGTATATCAGGTACCCATCAGAAGTGGGTGGACTCTAATTGAATTTTATTAAACAAACATTTTGATGTAGGCCTAGATCTATAATCTATAACATTCCAAACAACATCTGTTCTGTAGAATTTACCTTTCTGCTTCCAAATGCGGTATTTTCCAATTGAAAATTCATCACAAAACATACAATAAATTATATAAATGGCATTTTATAAATTTATATAAACTATTTACTTTCACCTTGGTGTAAAAAAATGTAGGTATAAGCAAACTGATTTCAATAGTAAGAAAGAATCATGTCTTTTCTTGCTTACTAGCTTTAAAACAAGTGAATTTGACTTTTTACCTGTTTTTGGTCGCGTTTCTATATATTTTATTTGCGACACTAAAAAAATTATATTTAATCAACTGATTATGCTAAATTAATAAAATTGGTACTGTTGGATTGCATTTTTAAAGCTCTACAATTATATGCTATTCTTTTTATAATTTGAAGAAAATTGAATTTATATGAGACTAACTAAACCATGGTTTATTTGACCATTGAAATATAAATAAATTGAAAGTCGATTGTAGTAAATTGTTTTAATTTTTTAAAGTTTAATCAACAAAAGGAAACAATAATAAATATAATAGTAGATTTAAATTAGTAGATCTAAAAAAAACAACATATATTAATATAAATAATGAAGTCAAATGTTATAATTTAATGTTTTTGGCTTGCAGCGGATTTGCGACCATTAATTAATTAGATCTAGAACTAGCTAGATATCTAGCTGCTAGGCCAAGTAAAAAAATCTAGATTACAAAAATAGTAAAAATGATTACCAAATGTAAAAATGATTGCAAAAATAAATCTATCCAAATTTGAAACATTCTGTATAAAAATAAAAGATGACGCCAAATAAAGTATGGTTTACAGTACTTCCGGTGAATTCCGGAAGTGTGTGACAGACTTTGGCATTGTTTTACTGTTTTTTACTGCTATACGATTCCGGAATAATAACCGACGCTAAACTAAGGTTTTACCAATAGTTTATTTTATGATGTGAAATACATTTAGTGTTGTGGCACATTATTTAAAACTTCTAGATCTAGTTTTTGCCTATGATAATCATAATAAATTATAGCCTAACAATAGTTTTATTAGTTTTATTTATATATTTATCGTTAAGAGCTAGAATAATAAATAACCTTTTGTTTTTATTTTAGGCTTTCACATATTCATAACCATGGATCCAAGAGTCTAAGTTGAAAGTCTTCTACCAGTTTATTCTGAGCTACTCCTTTTGGCTCAAAAGATAGTGAGTTGTCCAATGATGAAATAGAGAACGTAAACAGTACCCGGGACCTATCTGATGTTGGTGATGAAGATTTGTCTGACGTAGTTGAAGGTAACATATTATTATTGCATACTTTAAAGCTTTGCTTGTAGATTAGTAAAGCATTTATTGTTTTGTATACAATTATTGCATAATTTATAACCAAATAATATTCTCAAAATTTATTTCTACAGAGTATGCCCATTTGCGAAAAATGATGAAACTCCTCAGGACCTTCTCAATTGTCTACACCAAGGTCTTCATTAGCATCAACAGAATGATCAGTCCCAGTAAACAGCAAATGTTCCACCATTTCCTGATCCTAGGAGAGAAGCCAAACATCAGAGGCGGCCATTGGATTATTTCAACGACATCTTTACAGATAATCTGTGTTCGGACAATTGTGTATCAATCCAACATCTACTGTCCTCTAACATGACATCAACAGTCCTTTAGCACTGGATAAAGATTATTCCTGGAAATTAGATTTTACATAAACATTGTAAAAAATTCCTAAATGCCGAGTGTATTGGAGCCTTGCCACCAAGTGTATTGCGGTCACATACGTCATGACCATCATCAGATTCAAGTGGAATAAGAATAATCTGAACCTGTCAAACAATGTCCTCAACAGGACATAAACAATCCACTAGTACTGGATAAAGATGAACAAAAACATCTGGAAATTGTGTTTCACATAAACATTGTAAAAAAAATTCTAGATACCAAAGGTCTTGGTGCCTTGCCACCTAATGTGTTACTGTCACAGACATAACCATCAATAGATTCGAGTGGATTAAGAATAAGCTACACCTATCAAACAATGTTCAAAGGGCATAAGTTGACCAATATCGGAATTCTGTACTTATCAAACCCCATGCCATCTGAGATTCTAAGTATTCATGAGCAAATCGACCCATTCACATATCGTAGGCAAAAGCAGTCCAACCTACAACCATAGAAAGCCATATAGATGGGCTACAAAGTCTTTGTTGTGTCCAACAACTTGTATAATCCAAGATTTTGAAGTGCATACAGGTAAAGCTACAAAGGGACAAGATGACAAAGTGCTGTTGCTAATATTGAGCGGACATTATTACAGAGCGTTCCCCAATATGTTGGGCTCAAGATTTACATAGACAATACCATTTAGTTCATCATTTAGTTGCAAGTTGTTCTGCACCAACAATGCACAGAAGTTTTTATTTGTTGTATAGCAAACAAAAAAAATGCTCATAAATTTTTTACTAAATAAACCTGCATGTAATTTTTCAGTTGTTTTTTTCTCTTTCAGTGTACATGTTTTTACTTTTGTTTTCATCATAAATAAACTTACATGTTACTATTGTTACTCTCAAATGATTTGTACAAGTTATTTACATTTCTATCAACAATTCTATATAAATATATTTTTTTCTTTTTATGGAAAAAAAGTTTGACCGTTGCGCATAGTTGCAGAATTGCAACGACCAAAATTGTTGTGATATTGTTACCTTTACACTTAGCTAGATACATGAAATCTTGTGTACTTACCATTAGGATAACACAGCGAGCTATGGAAATGCATAAACGAAAAGCTGTAGAAAGTTCCCAGACAGCGGCAGACCTGAAGCTTCACTTAGATAAGTACCAAGCCCAGCTGAAAGAGGTGCAGGTTGCTGTGGCTGAGAAAACAGCATCTCTAGAGCAGGAAGTCTTCAAGTATAAGAGAATGCAGGTAGCTTAGCTCCCCTATTTCTTTCCATAAGTTCAGTGTCACTAGGTTGTTTAACAAGCCTATTGCCCATCAGCTATTTAACAAACCCATTGTTCATTATCTGTCAATCTCATTAATGGTCTATTTTGTTTTCTAGGAGGAAGTTGCGAAACTGAATCGTAAAGATTGTGTAGTTAATGACTTATACTTTCCCCAGCAGCAACATGTTCATGTTTCTAAGTGTTAGTGTTTCATGTCATGTTGGTGTTGTTCATGTGAAAGTACCTTTACCCTAAGTTGTTATTCTAACCCTACTTTCACCTATAATGTTTTTATTCCACCAGGAACAATTGACCTGCCCTTCATGTAAAGTCAACAAGAAGGATGCTGTACTGACCAAATGTTTCCATGTGTTTTGTCTGGAATGTTTGAGGACACGCTATGAGACGAGACAGAGGAAGTGCCCCAAATGCAATGCTGGGTTCGGTGCCAATGACTTCCACAGACTGTATTTGTCTTAGGGTTAGAGTTACTTCTAACACTTGCATCAAGTGTTGGCGACACACACACAAGGACACACCAAGTTTAGTGACAGTTGTTCTCCACAGGTTGAGCACTCTTGTTGTTTTAACTACAGCTCAACATCTAGCATCTCTTTACTGGACCTTGTACAAGTGGCACTGACTAATCAAGATAAAAAGAAATCTCTGTCAACCTGCATAAGTAAAAACAAATTTATTGATTTTTGTTTTATATGGACTGAACACTAACTGCACACAAGCTAAAGCCACCCCATCAAGTAGCCAGCTGTAGCTTACAATTCAGGCAAAAAGTGGATGTTGTATATTTGTTAAAGCCAGGCCTGTGTTGTTGAACTCAGAAAAAACTAGTTCTTGTCATGTTGGAGGTTTCATGGCCATCTTAAATTCCTGTATTTCTAAAAACTTCTTCAAATGGATGTACTTTCGGCAGGATATGAGGAAAAGTGAAAGTTAAATCACACTCTCCACAGTATAGAATATCTTGCTATAAATTGTTTGCTCTAAACAATAGCATAAGACATTTTTTTTCAACCCTTATTGTGTTACGTACTTCAATAAAATGCATGTGTTCTCTGTTGATGTTGAAAAAATTTTATACTCCATGCATAGGTTGAAAAAGCAATGAAATTATTTTTTAATACACATTTTGATAGGTTAGTAAATAGTGAAAATGATAAAAAATCTTTTTTTTTTCCATAACGTAAATTATAAATGTTGCAATTTTGTTCACTTTTTGTCATCAATTATTAAATACATTTTAAGTTCACTTTCGCTGTACAATTAGATGAATACCTTTAACTTTTTTATTTAAAATTGAGTTGTACTTTTAATTCCTAGTAGAAAAATTCAAAGAGGACTAGTTGCATCTAGTTAAGTCGTTAGCTTTATTTATGTCCAAGTCACATGACAAGTTATTATAGTTCTGATATTCAAGACAGATAATTCATGTGTTATGTAAGAGTTGTCTTTGTTATAACCTTTAATATGTAATTTTCACAACATTATTGAAGTGTTTTACCAGATATTATCTTGACTAAGGCAACTCTTGCATGAAATTTATTATCACTATTGCAGTGAGTACTTTTTTAAAATAACTACTTAAAAAGTTTCACTTTGTTTTCTCAGCTAGCATTTATACTCTGTAGTCTGTTACATTTATTGCCAATATTGTTTTCTGCTTAAACTAGGTCATTTCTTAGGTTAAAAAGTCAGAACTCAAAATGTAATGGAACAAAGTTCAGGACTTTGATGTACCACTGCCAATTATTTATGTTATGACTAGTGTTAATGTTGAATGGTTCAGGTATATACATTAATTTCTGTTGTTTAAGCTTCTGTTGATGTTGAATGGGTCAGTTTTGTATTCTGGTGTTGAGCTTGTGTTTTGTATTATAATGTAAATAATGTGTAGTGTTGCCTGTTGGTAGGAACAAGTTTTATGAGATGAATGCTATCCACTGTTTTACCATGATGGATGAAGCAATGAATATATTGTTACTGTGTTCACTCTCTTTCTTATTTTGTCCTGTTTCTCAGCATTGAATAAATTTTATCACTCATCACTGCTAATGAATATTGACAGTTTTTGGAGACTGGAGGAAAGATGTGCAACAGAAAACTGCTCAATGGAAAACTGCACACAAAAAAGTGCATAAAGGCGTTTTAGTTTTCTTAAATAAAGCGTCATAAATATTAACAAAATTGACTTACTACATGTACAGTGTAGCATAATAAGACATATTCCCATGGAATATAGCAAATCAAAGTGTATTATTATAATTAGTTTGTAATGTGTAGTTTTTCTGTTTGCGCAGTTTTCTGATGGGCATGTTTCTGTAAACTGACAGTTTAAAAAAAGTAAGTTAAGTCCTTGCCTGGTTGTCCAGTTGTTGGCTGGATGGTCAGTGAAGTTGCCTTCAAGATGTTGATCAGTTAACCAGTAAGGTTTGACTGGGTCACAGACAACCAATCAGCCCAGCTCAAAACATTTTTCTGAATTTCAAAAGTACTAACTTAACAACTATGGGACGGAGTGGTCTAGCGGTAGAGAGCTGGACTGCTAACCCGTAAGTCTCGAGTTCGAATCCGGGTTCAAGTCAGTAGACCGTCCTTGAGTCCACCCAACTCTGATGGGTACCTAACTCACGTTAGGAAAGTAAAGGCGGCTGGGCATAGTGCTGACCACACTATCTCTGCATATGCCGAGGTCACAGAAACAAGTGAACTCTACTTCACTTGCCTCATAGACCGTCAGGTTTGAAAGGGAAACTTTTTATTTTTTTGAAACAACTAACATTGGTACAATTTATTTTATGCTTATATTCATAGTCTCTTACCAAACATTAAAGCAAAGAAATGGGGAAATTAAATATTTGCAGTAAACAGCTGTAACGGCAAGTGTTATTTAAAAAAAATATATATAAATTTCCAAAACCAAACCGAAAGTGATGCAAACTAAGGCCTATTGGAGCAACAGTAGAAACTAGCTGATTTAACAAATATAATATTGTAAGTAGATCTACATGATGACTGAACGAACTTTACATTGACCAAAGTATGAACAAGCCATTGCGTCGTTGGATTTGCTAAGCAATAAATATCACATTTTTGTACTTTTATTTATTGTAAGGTAACATATACACATGGAAAATGGGGGGGGGGGGGGGGGGGGAGATAAAAAGGTATTTGGGAAGTAATGTAATAAGAGAATGTCAGTGTTTTATTTTTTAGGGTACACGTATAAGTCACAGTCTGAACAGGTATTTATTGACACGTGCACAACAAACGGAGGCAAACAATTGAGCAGTCGATTCTGCAGTAATGTAATAAAGGGGCGAATACTATTTCAAGTCCTATCACACGTCACTTGAAAATCATGAAGAATTTAAAGTAGGCGCTGTTACTGAAATGGCTATATTGACACATTTGGGGTTTAAATAGTACCGTCAATATTAATATTTCGGGATGGCGTGGACTAGCGGTAGAGCGCTGGACTGCTAACCCGAAGGTCTCGTGTTCGATTCCGTGTTCGAGTCAGTTGAACGTCCGTGAGTTCACCCAGCTCTGATGGGTACCGATCTTACGTTAGAGAAAGTAGAGGCGGCTGGGCATAGTGATGACCACATTATCCCTTCATATGCCGAGGTCACAGAAACAAGTGGCTCCAGCGGCGTCGCTAGATCGGGTGTCACCCGGTGCCGCACTTCGCAGTGTCAACCCCAAAGAAACAAAGTATATATATATATATATATATATATATATATATATATATATATATATATATATATATATATATATATATATATATATATATGTGTGTGTGTTGTGTGTGTCGGCATACATAGGGCTGTAATTTGACTATATGCCACATACGCATACATGTATGTGTATAAGTATAAGCTTTAATCACTGCAGGCTTAATAGTAATGATGTTTATCTATTGTCTGTACATTTTGCAATTTTTGCCTTGGTGTCATCCCCCTAAATGGTGTCCCCCGGTGCGCTCTGCACCCCTCGCCCCGTCTACAGCATGGCTTTACTTCATCTTCGAATGGAGAGCTAGATCTAAAGAGAAATCTTTACTTCTTCCTTCTCTTCTTGCTAATTTGTTAATTTTATTAGCCAATTTTGTATTCTATACATAGATGTAAAAGAATTATTTTGTAGCTATTTAAAAATAAATAAATTAATTAATATTAAATACAGTATCTAGTTTTTGAGGATGTTTGGTTTAGAATAGATCAAAGTCTAATTCATGTGATGGTTAAATAAACGTCTAGTTTTAGAAGCTTTAAAACGAACATCAATGTTAATCTTATGAGGGATACACAAAACGCAGTGGAAGATTAATGGCTATTTAAACTATATACTCAGAGCCCAAAGCTATACTAAACAAAGCACGAATCTTTAAGAGCCAGTGCAACAGTTGTATCAATTAGGTAAAACGGGATACACGTGTATCTATTAGCATCGATACGGCGCACACACCCTCCCATGCATAGATTGATATCTGGTCCACTTAATGGTTCTGGAGCAGACGACTCCTGCCTGAACTGGTGCCAAGAAACCAATCTCCCCGTCCTCCCCTACAAAACACCTTGTCTTGGCCTGCTGCACCAACGGTTCGAACACCTGAAGACTCACACATTTCTCCCTAGGACATTTATTTTGCTTTGTTTTGTAAAGCGTAAGGGGAAATAATTTTTGTAGATTTTCAAGGGAGACAATTTTTTAAGACAATAAAGAGTGAACACCCTTCAGGAAGGCAGCTGGTAGGTAAGAGAGATTTCTGTGTTAGATTTTCTTCGTTTTCTTGATTCATTTGATTTAATTTATTTTCTTAATGGTTTGATATATTCACTTAATGTAATGTACAGTGAAATCGTTCGAATAGGTAATACCGTTCAATATTATGTGTTCTTAGTGCTATGAATTCAGTATATTTAATGTCCTATTTACTCTATCATTGACTCAATATTAATTAGGTCTGATACCTTTTGCTTTAACTAAAATTTCCTCTCTTATCTAGATCTATATGTCTGTCGTTTTCGTTTGATCTGTCTTCAGTTTTATTTCATCTATTCTCTGTTTTATAAGGTCTATTCTCTGTTCTATTAAATATACTCAGTTTTACTTAGTCGTTTTCTGTTTTATGTGTTTGATTTTCTGTTCTATTTGAATTATTATTGAGTCTATTCACTGTTCTTTTTATAAAATCTGTTATTTGATTTATTCTGCATTTTATATTAGTCAATTCTCTGTTCTATTTGATTTATACATGTTCTATTTGATATATTTCCTGCTTTTGTTCTTTGTTTTTTATTCCGTTGCATTTTTTATGCGTCTATTCCCAGTTTTTGTTTTACCTGTGTTTACTATTGCTCTGAGTAAAGAAGTAATTAGTTATTAGCTTTAGCCTTCAGTCTTGTGTTCATCTCATTGGTGATAAACAGGCACGGTCTCCTGTGTTTATCTGTCTGTATTTGCGTGGTGGCTGGTGAAAATATATTTCTTTGTAAATTTTGATATGGGATAAATATAGTCTACAATAATTTGTTTATAGCTTTTGATATGGGTTAAACATTGTCTAAAATATTTTCTTTTTAGTTTTGATATGGATTAAACAGTCTAAATATTTTCTTTTTAGATTAAGAAATGGATAACAAAATCCACTTCTATTAAAACTAATACAGCAAAATACATTTTGTGAGTTGTCTTGTTTAGTTACCTACCCTACTCGAACTAACTACAGGCGTTATAAAAAAAAAGCCAGAATACCAAAATAATATCACAAAGCTCCCAATTACATCTTTAAAAACTCATTATTTTTTTAACAAGGATAAAAATTGTCGTTTTTTTAAAAAGAAAACATCAGTTGTGGGAAAAACAAAATAAATGCTACGTCACTTCCCTTAACATAAAAACAACAACAACACATAACAAAAACCTATAACACTCCCACAATATCCTTTGTGTGAGTCTCCCCTTCCCACTATATTTGTTACGTCATTTATAGTCGACCCCCCCCCCCCCCCCCCCCCCCACTCGCCACATCGCAGTATTCTGATCAGAATTAGCCTTAAACTTACCACAAACTAAAGGAAGGAACTCACTTTCAACTAGTCCGTACACATTAATTAAAAGAGAACACACCGCTAATTGAGGAAGTGTTATAGTCATTTCACACGGGTGTGCGTATCAAGGTAGTCAGCAGGTAGGCAATTAGTGAATATAGTATAGGCCTTATGTGTTTATTTATAGACAGCAGTGCTAACTTGATGATTATCAATATGGTGTGGGGGTAAATAAAAGATATTATTTGATACATTCTCAGAAATTAACAGCGTACTTGATCTAATGCTGGAGGGTAGAGCATAAAATTGCTTATTCCCGAGTTGGGATCCAAATGCAGACGAGGCTCATTCGTTTGTGACAGCAACCTATCAAGGGGAGGAAACTCCAAAATCAAACAACTGCTGCCTTGTAGATTGGTCTTAGGCCAGAATATTGGGTGCAGTGTTTCCTCCAGACTTTTTTCTGGGGGGAGGGGGGGGGGGCACTTGAAATTTTCGGGGGGGGGGGGGGGTGGACACTGTTAAAAGTATATATTTTCTATATAAATTTCATTTCGTTCGGCAGAGTTTCTTCGGGGGGGGGGGGGGGGGGAAGAGCCCCCCCCCCTCCCCTGAAAAATGTCTACCGCCCCTTCCCCCCCCCCCCCCCCCCCCCCGAAGAGATGCCTGGAAGAAACTCTGCCAATCAGTCAGTTACAAAACTTTATTTGAAACTCTTCAAATAGTCAGCTCATCTTCAGGTAATGGTAAGTTCTATTTATTGGTGGAAATACACAGTTATTATAAGAAGTAAATCTTAAATATTACGTAAATGAATATTAATTCGATTTGGGTTTTTAAAAAAGCATGTCACAATATGTAAATTACTGACGGGAAACAACTCACTGACACAAAATCGATTCATAACTAAATCAATAAATTCAAAATTAACAAAAACAAAAACAACAAA